GACATCTTAGTATCACCTCGCCGTGGTGCCTGCCACTGGAAAGTGATACCGGTCGAAGAACTTCCTGCGTGGATCATATGCCGCAAAAAACCGTTAATGCTATGATCCCTATAACTTCCGAAACGCACGTCCCACGAATTGTTGCCTCCCGATTCATCTTTCTCAGCACGGAACTACCCCCCCCCTCCGCACCCCTTTCCCATGACATTCCACTTTAAGTAAAGTGTAGTCCCTAGGGGGGGATGCCTACTACTACTACTACGACTACTACGTACTACTACTACTACTACTACTACTACTACTATTACTATTACTACTACCACCACCAAATGCTACGGCGCAAATTGAAACTAACTACGAAAGATGGAACTGCTGCAAAGGCGACTTGATTTCCTTCCTCTCACCGGATAGCACCTCCAGTCAGGTGCACGACTCCGCTGCCAGCAAAATCCATGTAGCCTGGAAAGAAACGAAGAACTGAAATGGATAATGATAACGTGCTAGTTCCCCCGCTGGGTTCCAAACGCCAAGATACACCGTGATCAAGTGGATCGATTCAATTCAAAAGGCTTAGCCTTACACCTCTTGGTTGGTGGCTTGCACTTGCGGAGGGCTTCTGGGGAAGCGGCAATCATTTCAAAAAACATCTCGCCCCAAACCCTGAGCCCGCTACCCTACTGTAAGCCTTCAACCGAAACCCCAAAAAACAAAACCCAGAGCCCTGCACCCCAAACAAACAGCCCAAACCGCGAAACGTACCCCTTAACATGCGTAGCTTCGCAACTTATGTTTTTTGGCCTTGTTGAATTTTGCGGGGCAGCGCTTGGCAGCCTCTAAGTACAAACCAAATGAGCCTGAAACCCCCAAAACTACAATCCAACAACTGAACCCTTCCTTCAAAATGTTAAGCCCGCACCTCTGGAATTGTCTTAGGCCAGGATTGTTAGGAAAAATCCTGCAGTAATTTGGATACTCTTCAAAGCTTCCTGAAAATCTGGAAGGAGCCCTGCACACGAAAATTGATCATGCTCACCATACATTCAGAACCGAGGATTTGCTAGAGCAGTCCGCGTCGCCAACGTTGAAGACCTAGGCATGCGCTGAGAAAGCGCTCTCCATACACAAATGGGTTCGTAGGGGGCTACGCATGGTTCAGGGCAGCAGGCGTTTAGCGGAAATCCGAATCTTGCTACCTTCGGATCAAGATGATACATCTTATTCTCATTCCGGAATTCGAGCTTCATGTTTTTTCAGGGACTACAAAAATTCTTGACAAGCACCAATGCATGATGGCAATACAATCAGTAGAAACACGTATGCCCCAAACAAAGCTTTTAGTACAACTAAATCTGAAAACATGAAGAAACTCGTCGGAACAAAATGCCGCTGAATAAGGTCGTCCAAAGCTGTCAAGCTTCACGTCTGTTTACTCACACTTGCTACAGGCTACGCAACAAAGGTCGAGGAGATGGAGCCAAGCTTCCAATCTAGCACTTTAGAAAACAAATCGTAAGTGAGGAAAGGAATGGCAAGAAGAACCCAAAATGATTGCAACATAAATCACGTTCACGGCCCAAACGGATAAATGCAAACGTAACCGACGTCCCTCACTTGGGAAGTCCGATTAACACCTTCCAGACTTCAACATCTTTGCTGAGCTCCTTTGGCCCCAGCTACCTCAGCCATGAAAAGGATTCTTGCAGTCATGTTGTTCCAATTATGCAAGCACGAGAAATACTGCAACACGGCGTAGCCCGTAGCCTTTCCCGAGCTCAATCAAACTTAGACCCTGCAAGAATTGGGTAGAGCTTGACATCCAAACCAGGAAAAAACCTGAGACGCGCGACCCTGACATAGGAAACGGTGTTTGGACGCAATTTGCACAAGCCACGCAAGTGTCAGGGTTCACCTTGCCTTGAAGTGCATTTGGGCACCGTGTCCAACAAGCTGCAAAGCGCAGCTGCCAAGGCCCATTGTCACGCCGAATCAGCGCCAGCCGGATCGCGAAACAGGGCAGGCGGGCGGCAAAACACAGAAGAAGAAAGCTTGCCACATGCAAGCAGCACTCTGAGAAGTAACAAGCAACAGCTTCAATAAACAGGGGTTGACGCTGTGTCTAGGGTTCGTGGCACCAACCTCAGCACGGGCCTACCAACCCTGAGACGCGCGCAACCCTCACCTAAGAAACACAAGTGCCAGGGCTCACTCAAAGCAACGCCGCATCCAAACACCGTCGGACGCACAAGGACACAGCCAACTTCAGCGCAAACGACGGCCTCTGTACTAAGTGGTGAACTTGACCAAAATCAAAGTGCCTGCGAAATGCCCGTTTGAGACGGCATGATATTTGATAGATATCCGTTGCCATTTTGGCTCAAGCCCCCTACGTTAAGGGGGGGAAATTTTGAGTAAAAGGAAACGAGGGCTAGACCTCGAAGCAATTTATCGACTCTTAGAAGCCGTTGCGAGGATTGACTCGGCCTTTCCTGAAGCCTGAGAAATCATCACGTCTTACCTAGTCTAACAGTCTCCTACACCCAAAACCTTCATCCATGCACCCTTGGCGTCAAGCCTTCCAGCTTAAAACCTTTTAGAATGCAATCCAAGAAGCGCTGGCCAGCCAACCGCCTCCCCAAGTCCACGCAACGATTATTGGGTAAATGAAGCTCGTCATACCTCACGGCTTATGGAATTTGCGGGTGCAAGGTTCAATGCGAGGTCTTGGGATTGGAGACAATGGGCGAGGCAAAAAACCTGAATTGAAGGTCTTCAGCAGGAAACGAATTTTTGGGGGCTCAGGGCTTGGCAGGTTTCTGCATTTGATGCCAAGGCGCGTGGCTTAATGTTTACGGTGGTGATTTCGTGGCAATGCGCATATTACTGCAGCAAACGAA